GTTCCATGGGGATGGACGGCCAGCTTCCCTGTGGGCTGTGGCAGAGGGCAAGACCTTCCCTGTAGGTGCTTACACTGAGATAGAAAATGGGGAAGAGGATCTTGGAAGAGGGATTATGTCCATCTGCCTTAGCAGAACCATTTGCTTCCCACAGCATCTCCCTTTCTGTGACAGCCTGTGCCAGTGCAACACATCCTTCCAACCAGAGCCTTTGAGGCCCCAAAGGCTCAGAAGTCAGTGTGGCTGTTACAGAAGGAGTGCCTGCAAGCTGTGGGGGGGGGCTATCCCTTTGAAAGGGAATCGACGGACTTTGCCCACAGGTTTCTTGGAGTCCATCTGCAGGGATGATGAATACAGGACTGCTGGCAGTCACTCTCCACCTCCTCAATCCTGCAGCTGCAGCAGCTCCTCATCCTCCCCTTTATGTCCCTCCCAACCTCATATGTTACACCCCTGTTGCTTCTCTGGGCTTTGGCAGGATGGCCAAGACGTCACACCCAGATGCCAGCCAGAAGAGGAGGGGCAGGGACCAAATACACCTGTCAGCTCTCTTCTAATATTGCATTCTTAATGTGCTCATGGAAATTCATTATTCTGCACTCAAGCCTGGGTGAATAAAATCACTCAGGCCTTTTTACACCAGGCTGGTACCTAAAGGTCCGTGGGAAACTGGAGAATGTTGTGGAGATACTGGGACAAGCATGGTGATGCCACTGCAGGCTAATCAAACACATCTGAGTGCTTTGGCTGGCAAGGGAGGAGAGGAGCGGCTGTCAGCCCGAACCCCACAGCCGGCAGCATGGCATTGAAGAGGTTGCTGCCGCAGGCACCCGACCGGCTGTGGGGCCTACCTTGGCTCAAAGGAAATGTGCTTCCTTGCTTCTCATCCTGGATTGGGGCTTCACTCATGTGTAAACATGTGCCGCTCCTTCCTCCTGCAGCACTGCAGTCCCTCTCGATGCTGTGGGACTGAAACTAGCTGGAGTTTGGCATCTGAGGGCCCAAGCAGCCTACAGTCAAAATACCGCTGCTCCCTAGGGTCAGCTGCTCATGGGGAATTGTCCGGTGGTCACAAATGAAGTTGGAGCTTCTCAGTGGTGGAGGTGAGGGAGGCTGGTCTTGAACCTACTGCCTCTGCCTGTGCCCAGGGTGGCAGGAGTCTGCAGGGCAGCCCCAGGGACTCACAGGGACCTGTTTGTAGAGCAGGGTTGGGACTGGAAACCACATAGTCTCTTGTACCCTTACTCCTGCTTAAGTTGTTGCAATCTACAGGTGCCACAGGAGTTTTGGGGGGGGTGTACTCTGTTTCCCATTTGAGCCATGCTTTTAGTTATCCAGGCATGCTGCTGGTTTTGAGCATCTCCATTAGGAAGGCTCCCGTGTCAGTGCTGAGTAGCATGGCTGTGGAGAGCGATGCTGGGGCTAGGCTGCCATCTGTGGGGTGTTATTTCCGTATGGGGAAGGGGTGTGGTTGTACAACAGGCAGTAGATTAAGTTGCAACAGATCATTACAATCAGGAAAAATGTCATTTATTTTGCGTTGGAATTGCATGCAAGGCTCTCTGTATTTTCTCAGGTTGCCTTCTTGTTCAAATGTATTCACCAAACTATTCCCATGTGTGACCTGGAACCGCAGCTCTCCTGCAAGCAACTCATTACAATGAAGCACTGTGCAAAGTGTAATCAGGGCTGGTCAGTTTAGTTTTGACCTCCAGGCTGACCGAAGCAATTTCCTGTCCTTTGCTGCTGGAGCAAGCTGCAAAGTGTGAGGGCTCCCCACCTTCAGCAGGCTTTGATTTTTAGCTCTGAAGTCATCTGCTGGAGATTCATGCCTTTAGAGTGCCGTGGTGGGGCTCCCCACTGTCAGTGCTCGGGAGATTTCTGCCCCAGTGTAGGGATGCCTGATCTGGCTGAACCCACCTGTTCAGAGGTTTGAACTGTGGCAGCACATCGCCCTCAGCCACTGACTGGTTTCTGTTTTGGTGCTGGAGGTGCTGCCTGGCCCTGCCACAGCACGTGAACACTCCCTACGACCAGCCACAGGCAAAACTGGGGGAGCACTTGGCCTCCCCCCAGTCACCCAAGGGGAGCAGGGCAAGATCCCACCTCTCCTCAGGATGAAGATGGGTGTAGCATCCCTGCTGCAGGCAGAGCAGGAAGGGGGCTGTGTACTGTTTGCTCACAGGGATATCCAGGCAGAAGAGCCAGGCTCAGCTAACAGCGTGTTGCTCGTGACACGGACGGGCTTGCTAGAGCTGGGGTGGTGTCAGGGGCCCAAGCCTTGCTAAGAGTCCCACCACACTCTGCAGAACAGCAAGAGCAGCCAACACATCGGCTGGAAACACCCCTCACTCCTCCCCACCACCTCTGGAAGGGGAGATCAAGGGCTCAGCTCCCCCAGGGCTGGATCAAGGAAGTGAAGTTTCCCCCATGTCCTCTGCGTTGCTATGTCCCCTTGGGCTCTGTGGAGTAGGAAGGGGTAATGGGCAGAGGGAGTTTGAGTTCAGGCAGTGTTGACCCACCACTCTGATACCCCGGAAGGTTCTTCAACAGGCAGCTCACTGAGAAGCCTAATTTGGGTGTTCAAGGGCAAGGTCCAAGAACACCTGGCCATTTTTCCTTAGCCTCATGGACAAGCACAGTTCCAGGGACATGTAAACAAGGAGGAGGGAGACAAATGACATTCAGCAGAGTGGGGCACTGCCCCACACCAAACTCCCCATGCTGGGGGTTGAGCAGTGTCACAAAACCCCTTGATAAGAAGTGGAGCACCTACAGAAGGGTCGAGGTGTTAGGGTGACTATGAATGTCTTGAAACCTTTGCTTTCCCACATTCTTCCTAAAATCTTCTCGGATTTCCCAGCCACTTTCCCAGCTGGCTTTGAGACGGCAGAGCAAAGTGGGGCTGGGCCATGCTGGGGCATCCCAGTGAATCCAGAGGAGGAGATTTATGCTGGAGCTCTGAGAAACCTGCTCCTAAGATGATAGTGGGACTTTTTAGAAAGGGATGTTTCCCACCAGCCAGTACAGGGGTGTTGGGAAGGGGTGTGTGGATGAGATGCCAAATGGGCTTTGGAGGTTGGCTCCAACCAAAGCGTTCTTGTGGCACCATCTGGATGTGGGGCAGATGTCAGGCTGTGCTGAGATGTTCCCGAGGCATTGGGTGCATCCTGTCAGAGGTTTGTCCTGGGGTAAGTGGGTCTGCTCAGTAAACACCTCACAGCTTTTCTGATAGACAAGCCCTTGGGTTTCCGGTGTGCACGAGCACAAGGTGAACTTTCAGTGGATATTTTCTGCTATGAACAGTTTTGCAAGTGCGTGCATGAGTCACTTCACCCACCCCTGACACCAGAGGAACCGCTCACACGAGTCCAGTCATTCATGTGTGCACAAGCACTCACAGGACACTGCCATCCTTCCACACTCCTGGATCACCAGTGCTGCCATGCCCACTGCAGGGATTCCAGCAGCCAAAGCCAGCCCTCCCTGTGCAGGATGGGAGCAAACAGCACTGGAAATCGAGCTCTCCAAGTCTGCTATTAAGACATAATTCTTAAATCGCTTGTTTGATATCTTTTCTGGTTTATTTGTTTAATAAAAGCACTTAGTTAGCCAGAGACCCAGGCTCCTGGGGCTTTCATTTCTCTGCAGAGAAGACAAGAGGAGCACATCTCCTTATCCAGTGAGTCACTTTTTCTGCTCTTTAATTATGCATTTGTGCGATTATCGAGCATATTCAGCTCTGAGATGCAAACAATTCAAACTAGTCACCAAGCTTCAACTTTTGCTATTCCAGAGATGATCAACCACAGTTACAAAGAGCAGGAGAGGCAAAGAGTGGAGTGGCCGATGCCCAGAGCCTGGGCCGTGCTTGTGAGCAGGCACACATGTGAGTGCTGCTGGGGTAGTCAGCACTGGTTTTCTCCATGAGTAAGTGTTATCATGTGGCCCAGGAGGAGGTGGACAGGCTGGCAAGAGGGCTCAGAAGACCTGTAAAGCATGATAAAGAGAGCTGAGAAAATGAGGGGATAGGGAAAGGTCAATTGCAGCAATGAGGCTGCAACATCCTTTCACATAACAGGACCTGGGAGCACTTTATTCACAGGAGGACATGACGGCTGCCATCCATGGGCTCCCCACCATGCCTTTGCAGCTTCAAGTTTTCATTCCATGTACTGAAATGGGAGCCAAATGAACTTTATTGTAAACTTCACCCTCCACATCAAAAGCAACATGTAGGTTACTTGGTTTGGGCTTTCCCTGCTGAGCGTATTTGGAGGGGTCACAGAGTTAATCTCTAAGTGTGGTACAGCACATGTTGGGAACCATTTCCCACCCTGCAATTTAAGCCAAGCAGGGAGGAGAAAGGGGAGGAAGAGAGGCAGGGTGACAGTCCAACAATGGGAATAGGGGTTGGGGGTCACTGAGAGATGATTGACATGGGGGAAGCACAGTGGGAGCATTTGATGGGGAAGGGCAGGAGGGGAATGATGGAGGAGCATACCCCTTCAGGAAAAGGAGACTAGCAGGTGGAAACACCCCAGACCACGAGAAACAACAAAGCTTTTGGTGCAGGGAGGTGGTTTGGGGGCAGGTATCCTGACAGAGCAGCACTGGATGTTTTGTGGGGATCTTCTGCCTCCATGCATGGCTCCAGCCCCACCAGCCCACAAGGCAAGGTGTTTTCTGGGCCCCAGTCCCTACCCTTACACTCCTGCAAGCTGCCTTCTGGGGACAGTTCAGATTCTGGGTGCCCTCTCCTTGCCAGGGCTCTCCACTGTGAAGTTTAGATATGGACTGGAGCAAGCCTTGGCTTTTCTTTTTCTCCCTGCTGTTGGTTGTGGCACTGTATCACAGGTTTCCATGCCCTGGAGCTGTCCCAGGTCCAGCGCCCTGCTGCTGGACATATGTCCCTCTGACTCCCATGTCTGTACCCTAGCCCTGCTCCTTGCTTGGGATGCACAACAGGCAGAGAGACAGCTGAAGTGGTATACGGAGAGATGTCCTACTATTTGACCCAGTCCCCCTGGCAAGTACGAGCAGGGGTGAGTGCAGCCTGTTCAGGGCTTCAAGCATCGAGGCAGAGGGTGCCAAGCTGACATTCGTGGCTCCAGAGCCGGGAGCCATGCTGAGAGAGGAAAGTGCTCCCCACTTGCTTGGGGAGTTGTATTTTGACTAAGATGGAGCAGAAATAACTGAGCCACAGACACAAGGATGATGGCTGGGCTCTCACAGCTTCTCTGTGGAGCTCGCAGCACCCTGGGCTTGGCAGAGCCATCCTTGCTGGCATGGTACAGGGGCAAGGGAGCAAGTCTCTGGGCACACTGGCTGGAAGTGAAATCATGGTAAATGGGGAACTGGAGAGGAGCTACCAGATTTTGGTTGGGACTCTGGCTTGCCTGGAGCCCCACCACACTCAGTGGGGAGGGCTGAGACTGTGCTGGGGCCACTTCAGCGCTGCTCTGGTGCAAACCACCCTCTGGGGATGCAGCTGTCAGGGAGGGAGATGTGCTGTAGTGCAGCTCCTGCCGTGCAGGGCATGGGGTACTGAAGAACTGCACTTGAGCTGAGATCTACTGTAGGGAGCTGGTGACTGCATCCCATCTGGGGCTTGAGGGTGTGGGATGTGGAGGCTGTGGGCTCAACTTGCCCAGCAGTCACTGGAGAGGGGAAGGCACATCCAGGGACCAAGCCTTCTGGCCTGTCTCAGAGGACCTCAGTTGCCCAGTGGGGACACCTGGTACTCTGTCAGCTTGAGCCAGAGCACCCTATGGATTTTCTCCTCCTCTTCTCCCAGCCTTGGTCCTGGACAGTGAGTGGCAGAGGCGTCACTAGAAAGAGCCCAGAGGCTGTAGCTGCTGGAAGGATGTGACTCCAGCAATTAAACCCTATTAGGGATCTCCTGGCTAGGACAGAACACTTCCTTCAGCTGAGACCCAGCCAGCAACTGTGGCTTGGCCCCTTGCTTTCCTACAGAGTGAAGAAAAAGAGGATGTAACTTTTGTTTGGTAGGAATGGAGGAGAGCCACCCACAGCACTGAAATCCACAGATCTCAAGCATCCAGGTTTGATGTGTGGGTACTGGCAGCCGGACATTTTCCTGCTCCTGATTAGGAACACCTAAGACCATTAAGGGTGTTTTTAGTCCCTTCCGGTGGTTTGGGAACCAGACTTGTTTGGTGTGACCTGCTTTGCCCATGCCCTGGGCAGTTACTGAGCAGAGCCAGATCTGAGCCCTGGAGAGTGAGACATGGTGCTGAGGAGCCACGGATCTAGGTCTGTGATGGAGAGGATGGGGAGAGCAAGGTGGTGGAGAGCACAATCATTAGTAGGGGTGGAGAACACACAGCAGTTGGCCTGTCCACACAGCAGTCCCTGACAGGCCATGTCCTGGGGGCAGTGGGAGCTTTTAAAAGGGGAAACATTAGTGCCCCTGCACTCTTTTTTTCTCTGGTCCTTTTATACATTTTCCATTCAAGCCAGTCTGTGGCCCTGGCATGGGGTCTTGTAAAGATCCAGGCACAGGAAAGCCTCCTGTAGACACTGGAGGAAGCTGAGGGTGCTTTTCACTGACATCAAGGGAGGTGCAGGCTGGGGAATGTGCCTGGGGGTGACATACAGGTGGGCAGGGGAAGAGTGAGGATCAAGAAGGTCAGGCAGGGGCACCATATCACTAGGTACAAGGTGCTGCGTGGCTGAGGCACATGAGGGGCTGTGAGGATTTCGGAAGCATATTTTGGAGGACAGGGGTAGTTTGAGGGCACATTGCACAGGCAGGCGGGGGTAGGGCTTGAGCGCTTGCTCTCCTCCTCCCCGTGAAGATCCGCCCCAGGCCAAGTACAGTGATTGTGAGCCCCAAGGGAGACGACGCATCTTGACAGACTGTATCTCCCTCTGCCACGGGGCCCGGGGCGCTGCGATTTCACACTCGGGCGGCCCTGTCACTGCTGCGCCATTCAGGAGCTGGGCTCTCACTCCCACTCGGCCATGTCCTCATCAGGAAAAGCTGCCATTGCCTCCTCCTGCCTCTCCTTCGAGTGCTTCGACACCCTGACCAAGTCATGCATCAAGTGCTCCGAGTTGTACAAGGACAACACAAGTAAGGGGACAAGGGCAGGTGGGGTTCTGTCTTCCCAGGGATGGGCGGTAGTGGGTGAAGGAGGCTGGGGACACCCCAGGGGTGGGCAGATGGAGGGCACCTTTTCCTGAGGATGGCTATGGAGATGCAATGGAGGATGGAGCACTGCCTTCACCTGGAGGAGCAGAAGGAGAGAGGAAGAAGGCAACCAGTTCCAGGGAAAGGGACATGGTGAAGGGAGAAGCTAGATGATCCAGCGTGATGTGGGGGTCACAGCCTTCCTGGTCACAGGCAGAAAGACAGCATGCCCTCATCTCCTACCCTCCAGGAATGGCAGGGCATGGGATAAGGGTCCCATCAAGCAGGGACACATTTCGTTGCAGGTGGGTAGCAGTGAAGTGCCACTGTCCTTCTGTGCCACCGCAGCCCCAGGGTTGACCGGCCAGGTGGGAAACACTGCTACTCTCCTTCCCACCCCCAGCTCTCCCACTCCTGACACTGCTGGCATCTCACCCCACAGCAGAGCCCACCCTGGCACCCACCCTGACAAGCACTTTCCTGATCTTCGGGGTCCCGGTGGCAGTGGTGTTCATCCTGATTCTGGCTGCCCTCTGTGGCTTCCTGGCCTGTAAGGTGGGAAAGTGGAGGAGGAAGAGGAAGGCGGCAGACGAAGAGGCCAAAGGTAGGGGACCTTTTCTTCTCCTTTTCACAGTACCCTGAGGACCCTGGAGCATTTGGGATCACTTGCCGCCAGCTTCCCTGAGGCACATCCCTGTCGAGGCTTGCTCTTCTGCCTCGACATCAGCTTCACAGGCATCCCAGGACATTTTGGGGCAGCTGAGTCACCACCTGAGGCACGGTGTTCTGTTCCCTGAGAAACTATGCATGTGCCTGACTGCCAGGGCAACACTGCTGAGCCATCCCTCCCTTTGCCAGGTCTCTCTGGTACCTTCACTTGCTTAGAGCACCTGCTGGCACCATCTCCTCTCCACAGGGGACATGTACAGAGCAGTGGTGAGGAGCTCTGTGAGCTCACTGATGAGAGCCCTCTCTCCCCCAGTAGCCAGAGGGCCATGGATGGAGCTGGGGGTGTGGAGGCAGTGGAGGACATCTGGTGACAGCTCCAGGAGCAGCCTCTCCCTGTGGCACTGCAATGGGTGCCCTGTGTTGACTGCCCAGCTTGTTTTTCCTGCTTGGGATGCCCAGTGTCCTCCAACATGCACCTCAAAGACACTAATTGGGTGTCAGAGCCAGCTCCATTGAGAGGACACTGCAGCACTGCACAGGGTCATCCAGTGCATCAAAAATAGGGATCGAGGGCCAGGGATGAGGCTGAGCATTTCCTGGCAGAGGTACTCACAGAATAGTAAATCCACAGTGCCCCACGATGGCCCATTTTGTTGGGGTGGCTGTTTCCTCCCTTGAGGGCCTCTGCACTGGCGCTGACACAGCCCTGGGCACTCTTCTCATAAATGGTCTTTCCTGGCTTCACTCCTCCCCATTCCCAGGCAGGGGGTATGGCTACCTGGGATCCTCATGAAGTATGGCTCCCTGGGACCCCCGATCTCCAGGCTGCCTCCGGGAGATGCTGGCACCCACCACTGCCCCAACGTTTGGATTGGTGTCCATGGGGGGACAGCAGGGCCAGGGGCAGCTGGTCCTTGTACCCTGGCTTGCCTGCACACTTCTGGCAGTGCCGGCCAGTGACTCAGACCGGGGGCACATTACCCGGGGCTTTTCTGCCATGCGACAGCCCATGACGCACATGCCTAGGAAAAATACCAAGAACAAAAGAGGAGGGAGAAATCCAGTGGCAAGAGAGATCTGGCCATGATGGAGAGTGTTGGAGGCACTGCTTGAATAGTCCCCTGCTGCATGCCCTGGTCCTCGCCTCCTTTGCCCCCAAGGCTGCACCGCAGCAAGCCCACTGCTGCAGCACTGGATGTGTGGAAAGTAACAGGAGGCTTGGGGCTGGAGACACACGCCTGCATTCAGAGTGTGTAAACAAGTCTATTTTTAAGCAGGAGGCAGTCAGGGAGGGCGAGCTACCATGGGCTGGGCTGCTCTGCTGCCGGCAGGGTTTAATGAGAGGGCTTGAAGTGGAAGTGCAAGTTTCTGCCCTTTCCTATTGTCTTTTAGGGGGGAAAAAGCCTGTCAGTTGTAAGCAATATTAACCCTGCAGCAGGAGAGGTGGGGTGGGGACCTTGCAGGCCCCATCTTCCCCCCAGGGACAGGATCCTCTCCCTGGGACCTGCCTGACCCCACTTTGTAAGCCCAGTAACCCCCTTTTCTTGTCCCCTCCCAGCAAACACGGACACTGCCAGCCCCCTGCCCAGCCAAGACCCTGCCATGCCAGAGGGAGATGGTGCCCTGGCCCCAGAACCATGGTCGCACCTTGATGGGGGCCTGAAGATGCTGGGGCCACCTGAGAAAGCTAGGGCAAAGAGGAGGCCATGCTGCCAGGGCAATGCTGATGGTGACATCATTCTGCTCTCCAGTGTGTACCCCCGGCCTGAGGAGTGCAACCACAGCTTCCCACTGCCTGCCACTGAGCTGGGGGCCACAGCCCTGGTCACCACCAAAACCACCCAGAACTGCGCCAGAGAGGAGCGAGTCTGAGAGAGGGGAAATGGGGCTGGAGCATTCCGGCTGTTCCCTGTGGAGACCCACAGCCTGTTCCTGGGACGAGCGAAGCCTTCTGTGGGCATGAGCTCCCTGAGGTCCAGGTTTTGCCCTGAGCAAGATCAGCCTCGTAAGATGACTGTCCTTTTCCACTTTCCCGTTTGTGCTGAGTCCCAAGTTATACCTGTAAGCACTGGAAGAAGCCAAAGTGGACTACACCGAATTGCAGTGAACTACTGACAGCTGCCATGGCTGAACTGCGAGGCGAAGGCAGAGGAGACACAACCAGTGAGGATGGAGCATGGCAGGGACTGCTGTGCCATTTGCAAGGCTGCCATTGTTGCCAGGATAGGTCTGCTGCTGGATGGGCAACTTATGAGAACATGGGGCTGTAATAGCAGAAACATCAGGAGAAAAGGAAGATGGAGACGGAAGCAGGGAGTTACATTAGGACCAAATGTCACACCACAGTAGCTCCATTTTTGCTGCTGACCTCAGTAAAAGTAGACTTGGGGCCATATAGAGCAAGGCACATCCAGCATCTACTCCATTCACAGTCCTGCCACCCTGTCTTCTGCGCTGTGTGATACCCAGGTCTCTTCTCCCTCTGGGCACTCTCATACAGGGACAGGCATCTACTGGCACTCATAGGAACCCCCCCGACAGCTGGGTACCCCAGAGATGGGAAAAAGGTCCGTTTTCCTAAGCAGTGAAAAGGGGAAACATATTCTGTCCTTGCTCTGACCTGCAATCCCTGAAGTTAGCGAGGACCAGGGGCAGGCAACAGAGACAGCTAGTATAGAGGAGCTCCATGAACTTGTCATTACAGCTCCAGACAACCGTCACTTCAGCTCACTGTTGCTGCAGAAATACTGTGTGTCACTTGGGATGGATGTTTCTGTGCTGCAGAAAACCAGTCAGGGAGTGATGTGAGCGTAGGCAGGATGACTTAATTTATGTGAGTGTCCTCAAGGCTTTGCCTGTGTGCCAGATCTGGCCAGTGTTGCTGGTCCCAGGCATTTCTCTGTAAATGGTTTTTTTCACTCGCCTGCAAGTGGCTTTACTGTGCAGGAAGGGCTCTGTTTCAGGAACGAAACAGTGGGGGTTGCTGTTTCTGAGTAATTACAACAGCTGATCCCCTTGGCTGAACAGAGACAGGCCAATGGGTTGGGGGAGAAGTGCTGATGGCCCTGGAGGAGGTGATTAGGCAATTAAAAGTGCCTTTGCAGTGTTACTTGCATGAAGCACCATCTCAGCGACAGCCTGGGCCTGCTGTTCCTTAGGTGAGGTGGCTTCCTCATCCAGGAGGTTTGGACACTGAGGCAGAGGCAGCCAAGCAAGGTGTGGGGGCACTGCCACCAAGCACCAATAGGCCACCGAGTGCCATAGTTCCCAGTAGGGTCACCTGGTGGCACTACGTAGAGGGGGTGTCCCTCTGATGATGGGAAGGTGACTCCCTGCCCACGCCTGAGTTCTATTCTGGGGTTGCAGGACAGATGGTGCTGTTGAAGGGTGACCCTCCCTCTTCTCCCCGTCCGTGGCACCAGAACCAGACTTGTGGCACCGGTCAAATAATAGGTGCCACAAGCACTGCCACAAGTGCCAAGGCTGAAATTCCTCACCACAACTCCTCTCCCAGAGCTAAACATACTAGCAGAGATGAGCCTTCATCCGGCTGGGGCTCCACATGACCCAGGATGAGATGGGTCCTGTCTCGGCCTTGGGGCTGAGAATGGTGGAGGAGGTAGTCCATGTGCCCAATGGCTGTCTCCTGGGGCTCCAGGCATCTGTGGCTCACTGACAGGAGCTGTGGAGACCCCAGGTCTGGGCTACCAGTTATCCACAATAGCCAAGCTGCCCATTGCAGAAGGGGCGTGAGGAAGATATCTCCTCGTCTTCAGGCTCTGCATCCAACCCTGTGAAGTAAATTCAAGCAACCTTTGTGCATCTGGAGTGGGGAAATGAGCCCGAGACAGGTTGGAGGATGTTTTGGCACTGGAATAAGGACTGACTACTCGTGGGAGGCAGAGCAACCTGTTTCATGGGAGATGGGGGCGAGAGGGAAACGGAGCAGAACTATCAGGACCATCCTCCACTTTCCACCCAGTGACAGCTGCAGCCCAGCCCTGTGGATATGCTGCCCACCCCAGAAAATGTGGTGATTTGAAAAAGAAACACCCATACAAATCCTATTGAAAAAGCCCCTCTTTTTATTCAGGTAAGGACTTCTGTTCTCATTTCTGCTGGAATTTACACCAGGCATCTCCCTGTATAGGAAGTCACTGGCATTTGCAGTTTGCAGAGTAGCGATATAATCCACATTGGATTCCTCAGCCAGTGAGTGCCCCTTGGCATGTGCAGTGTCTTTCCCACAGCCTGCCTGCCAAAATACCAGCTGTGGTGAGCTGGTAGTGGTGGTGTGGCTCCCTTCCTGCCCAGTCTGATTGGGCTGGACTCACAACCTTTTCTGTGCACCTCTCTATCCTTATGTACAGGGCAAGGGTCTGTTTGCCTGGGCTGCATGGAGAGTTGAGGGAATAGAGATGAAAAATATGGTTGTAAAAATTAAAGAATAAAGTGAACCCATTGTCAATGCGTGATCAGAGGTCTGTATGAGGTCCCCATTCCCCTGGCTTTAGGGGTCTCTGACATGGTGGTCTTTGGGGTACAACAGGGCTTTGAGTTGGAGAAGCTCCCCCCTGCACTACCATCACCAGCTCGTTCCCTGTGCACAGCCACCTGCATGGCCAGGAACCAGACAAGCCTGGCCACCTGCACACCCGCATCTCCCCATGGCCACGCCAGGAGCTGGCTGATAGAACAAGGAGTGGGGAAAGTCTTTTTTTTTTTTTTTTTTTTGGAGAGGGGAGGTGTTACCTCTCTTTCTTTGACTTTCCACAGCAGTTTCTCACTTCCCCCTGTGAGGCAGGAACTGTGCTTCCTCCCCAGCCCGGCACCCACTCCATTGCCTGCACAACTGCCTAGAAAAGCTGGTGAAGCCAGGCTTTACCTGGCCACAGGGGCATGGGGTTTCAGAGAGAGACAGGGGAAAGTCTGAAGAAATCCCTGGGTGGGAGGAAGGAGTCAAGGCTAAAACCCTCCTCACTGCAAAATCACCTCAGCTATCTCTCTAGACATTTCAACTCCACTGGCCCCACTATGGTGGAGGTCACCAGCATATTTGAGTTCCTGCAGGTCCCAACAATAATGCTGGTGGTAAAGGAAAGAAGCTTTGGTGTCCCTAGGGATGGGGGTTTGTTTTCATCCCTGGTCCTAGAGGCAGGATCCAGCTGACCAACAGTGCATAGTGGCATGGGGAGGGAAGGCATTTGGCTAAGGGTCTTCTTCTGCAGCCACCAGTCCTGTCTACCAAACCCTCCTCAAGCCTACAGGCTCCCCAGCCTCCAAAGTGCTCATCTTTCCTCCACCAGCCTCATCACCTGGTCCTTCTTCCCTCACTTTCTCCTCTCCACTCCCATTACTGTTTCACCGACAAGTTTAGTCTCCCGATTGTAGGCCCAGCTACTCCAGCTTAAAGCACCCCACACAGAGCTCCGCAGACCCAGCTTGCCCTTCCATGGGGTTTCTGTGGGTGGACCTTGACAGCAGGCAGGGCAGGCAGGATAAGGTGGTCATTTCATCCCACGCACGAAGTAATATACCCTGATGACCAATGTCCAACGGGAACCATCTGTATCTGGCTGCAGCCTCCGATCCCCCAGCTTGCTGCAAGAAGACTGGGGCTATGTGGCCACCCCATCACCTGCTTGAAGGACATCCTATCCCACAGGAACCTTTCCCACCACTCACTTCCAAGTGCCAGTCATGGCATAGGGACATATGGGTGCCCCTGCAATCCTCGGGGGACAGCTGTGGGAGGCTGTGGGTGAAGAAGAGAGGTCAGCAGGCCCAGACCGCCTGCCACGAGGTGGCACTGACACCACACACCGGCCTGCACGGCTGCAGTGCCACAGGAGAGCTGCATGGGAGGGCGAACGCATAAATGCAGCGAGGGGAACCAGGGAGAGCCAAGCAGGCTAGTGACCAGCCCCACTTTGGCCAGAAAGAAGAGTGACAGCTGGGTCTGACTCTATCCAACCACGCAGCCGGTCACCATGACCTCTGGGCTGCCCAGGAGAAATGGTCAATGGTGGCTGGACACCTGTGGGCAGAGCAGGCATGGAGTGGTGGAGCAGCCAGAGGCACAGAGAGCTGCTGCTCCTTTCCCGAACAGCACTGTGCACCTTTACCATCACCCTGCTCCCTCGAGCAGCCCATTCCCAGGGTGTCAGGCTTCCCTGGGCATTCTATGGGACATGAACCTGCCAGCCAGCACCCCATTTCCCCATGCCCTCCCTGTCAGCCTGTACCAAAAAAGAAACTACTGTGCTACCCAGCAAGATCCCCAGCTGGAAATAGCCCAGGGCTGGGGAAAAGGGGACGGCCAGCTCCCTGCACGATGCTGTCGGGGGACCACAGTCTTCCTGATGCTGCTCATCAGCATCCCTCCCTAATTGCTACCCACTGCCTAATGACAGTAATTAAGAAGAGCGAAGCTGCCTGGGGACTGGAAGCGCTGACGAGTTGGGGGAGACAGATGGTGTTCGCACTTAAGGAAAGATTAAAACAAAAAAAAAGAGAAAAAATACCTCTCAGCTTCTATCAGCCTCCCTTTCCTTTGCTTAGTGTCAGGATCACGTTTGTCCACAGGCATGCCAGGGAGATGCTGAGATGTGGCATTGGTCACTTTCAAACACAACATCTGCTCCCCCTCATCTCCGGTATTTTAGGGTGCCAAGGGAGCTGTGGGAAGGGGCACAGTGCCTGCCTGGGTGCCTGGCACAGAGGGGGTTTCCTCACTGCTTTTGTGGGCTGATGCTCTCCCCTGGGGCCTCCCCCGCTGCTCCCCGCTTTGCTGGCCGTGCTCAGCGAGAAGTTTCCCAGGGGTGTAAGGAGAGGGGACAGCCCAAAACCACCTGAAGGGCTGTGGTGAGCAG